TTGCTGTACTATTTGTAATACTTGATTACTAATCTGACAATATGATAATACGATAATTTAATAATATGCTAGCTTCATAATATGTTATGTAGTGTGATAGTTAATATGATGGTATGACTTATCGTATGATAATTATAACTATAATATTTATAATATTTGATTATTAATATCACCATATGATAATTCAATAATTTGTTAATATCTAAGTATGATTGTTAATGTGTGATAGTATGACTGTTATTGTTATGATATTTATAATATTGGGTTACTAAACTGGCAATATGATAATACGATAATTTAATCATTTGATAATAAACTAATATGACAAACTGAAATGAAATCTTTCACGCGCATCATAAACAAGCTACAAAATTAAATTTCCGCTACTTATTGCGAACGTGGAAAAGAGTTTCGCTTACACCAGAACAAGAATCGAAGTCCCGAGACGCGACTTTTTGCGTTCGAATTATTTTTAAACAGTCGATTAGCACTGGGACCAGGGCGGAGGGGCCGAGCCTAAACGTTTCCGTGTTGGTCCGTGCAAACGGACTTTAAAGTTCAAGGTTGTTGTGAACTGAAAACCGTAATAAGATGCCGGCCTGTCTCTTGGCCAGCCAACGAACTTCCTCCTTGTCATCGATTCGAACCCCTCATCAGTCCGATTGGCGTATCACGGGCTGCCTATCAAACGGGCAAACACGATGCTCGGATGACAGTCGAAAACCCTCAATGTATCCGTTCGAACGCGCTATTTAATTTACGAGATTCCATCACTGCGATGCTCCATGAGAATAAATTCAATAATTCCAACTTCTTTTTAATTACAATTTTTAATTTAACCGTTTTCATCTCGAATGTAGAAATGCAAAATATTCTGAAAATTTGCGCGAATATGAAGCAACTCAATTTTGATGCAGTTTATTTAAGGGGATGAAACTACCCCTTGACAAAAATTTACAAGTTGAGAAAAAGAGGTCAGGGAATATTAGTAAGTGGTAGTATGATATTCGACAGCTTGTCAAGGGATAACTTCTTGTGGAAATTTTCCCTACACTAATTGGGGCGTAGTTATGAGGAGAAATTTAATTTTTAATATTTCATCGATTTTTCTTATTTAATTCTATGGGAAATTTTGAAAAAAGACGTTACACTTAACAGCTGTCGAAATATTCATTAGAAAATTTATTTCTAATTGAAAATTATAGTTGCAAAAAATAGAAAACAAGAGAAATCAAAGTAATGTCCAAAAAATAAATTTTCCATAGAAGTTTTAAAGAGATACAATATTTGTTATGATTTATTTACTATAATATTTATTTTTTTATTAATGTTTTTACAATATTTACTTTTTTATTAATACTTTTACAATAGATATATTACCATCATAGCCGTTTCCTCCGAATTTGTTTATATTTTTAAGAACAGTACAGTGAAGAAGTTCATTTTATTATTAACATATGAAATCATGTATTACGATTAATACATCAAAAATATTCGCTACTGTATAAATACAATAATTTGGGTCAGGATAGACCCAACATTCGCCTGAAAATATCGGATCCGAGATTTAAATCGAATTACAGTCCCGACTTTTAAATTTATAGCCGCGAAGTATTATGTTGGCATCGACGATCATTGCATCTTGCTCCGAATGATTTTTAGATATGAGATCATAAGGAACCTTTACTTTCCGTTATAAATAGACGGAACCTTGTTATTGAAGCATTTGAATTAGAAACGTAACTGATCTTAACAGAGATTATGAAGCAATAATCACCAATCGTCGGCCTTGATAAATCATTTCAAAATAAAAATATAACACTTGCTTCCAGCATTTCATTATTTAAAATTATGTCATAAATTTCGGTCTCTTGCAAAAATATAGAAAAACAATTCTCCAAGTCTACAGTCAGACAATTTCTCAAAAACCGGTGACAATCAAAAATATATATCTATAGTGAGATATTTTTCAAAACTAAATTTCACAGAAACTGACGACAATAAAAAAGTTCTCAGGATATAAGGTAATTACGAAATTAAATTCTTCAAAAATTAATGACTAAAAAATAAAATTCTCAATATCAAAAATAACGCATTTTCCAAAACCAAGTTTCTCAAAAAAGCCGATGATAATATCAAAATTTAAGTCTATAAAGAAACATTTTGCGAAATTAATTTTCCCAAAAACTAATGAAAGAATTAAAATTTCTCAACATCTAAAAAAGTGAGCCGTTTTTCTAAATCAAATTTCCCAAAATCCCTTAAAATTTGATGTCACACACTTTGAAATTTAAATTTCTCAAAAAAACTAATGACAATCAAAATGTCTCAAAATCTAAAGTCGGAAATTTTTCACAATTAAATTTGAATCAATCGAAAACTGATGACGACAAAAAGTCGAACTCTGTGAGAATTTTCCTTATTAGTTAATGGAATACTGAGACTTCTTAATGAAATATTGACGCGGATATTGATAGGGACATTTACCTCGGCTATTCCAGATACAATACATATTTAATAAGAGGAATGACAATGACACGGGAAAAACTGTGCCCCAGGCACAGGAGTTATTTCGCGGAGGACGATAATCGACTATTCATCTGCACGCTTTAATTCGAGGGTAACCTTTAGTTGCAGGCCAAAGGAATGACCCCGACGACCTACATAAACCAACCAATTTCTGTCTTCCACCTATTTTTCTGTCGGACACATGTCAGGTTAGGTTGCATCTGTTTAATTAATTATGTAAGTCGCGACGCTTTTGACTCGACTAACGAAATTATAATATTCTAATAAAATAAGAATACGAGGTAACATAAATATATTAAGTATTATGACAATACTATGATAATCATATATTTGTGTAATAATATAAAATTAATATAAACATATATTAGAAATATTATCATTATCAGTCCTTCGTT